CAGTTACAGGCACTACAGGGGGTTAGGAAGCATTAGTGCCACAGTGCAATTCAGAAAAGGTGAGGGTCTATTCGGTTTGTTTTTAAAATACTCAAAACAAAATGGCAGGATATTGAAATGTTGCACTGTTCTAACATATATTTAAAACATGCCCGAGGACTGCACTTAGAAAACTGATTAAAATATACGGCATTTTGCTCAAATGAATACATACTGTAGAGCCTGAAGGTCGTGGGTTCGAGTCCACCACGAGACCTTCTCCACCGACTCCCACTGATGTCTGCTGTCGTTGTGTCCTTGGGCAAGACACTTAACCTCTGGGAACAGCAGGTGCCACAGTGGGGCGGCTGTGGCTGTAAAGTGCCAAACTGTGGTTGTGTCCTTAGGCAAGACACTTCCCCCACATTAGAATGAGTCTGGTGTGTGTGTGAATGGTTGGTGGTGGTGGGAGGGGCTTCTGTCAGTGTGCCCCAGGGCAGCTGTGGCTACAGTAGTTTATCACCACCGTGTTTGGAGAGAATGAAGACTAATGTGAAGAGACTTTGAGTGTCCAAAAAAGCGCTAAATAAAGCCGATACATTATTATTAATAAATATGAAGACATATTTAAGCCGTCTTATATATTGTAAATTTGATACCTTTCAACAGTTACATTTATCTTTCATGTTAATATCAGAGGATTGTAGACGCGGTGCTTTGACCTTCACAGAGGAAGCCTATTGTCGGCGCTCCACTCACCTAGACTAAAAATCAGCATAATGTGCCTCCAGCCACTGCATTCCCAACGCACAAGTGTCATGTAACTATAGCCCTAATAAACTAATGTCCATCGCCCACACTCGTACAAGCCGACCCTGGAGCAGTAAAGTCTTCATCAATCCCTTACAGCTGGTCGCACAGAAACAGGCAATTACAGGTTGTTCTGTGTTTTAATCTGCACAGCCTGGAAGAACAGCCACAGATTCTGGAGGTTGTGGAGCAGAAGGGGTGACCTTTTCATTCCTTCTGATGGATTTAAGGCACATGTCCCACATGCCCTCGCCTTTCACATCTCCTTCCCCCTCACCCTGCAGCGGTTTCCCATCCATCCAAATAGAACCGACCCAAAAAGTACATAAGGACAGGGACGTGAGACACTGCAAAGGCCTTTTCAGTGAGATAACTTCAGCCATCGGTTTAACGGTGGTAACTATAACTGAGATTATTAGACCATAGATAGATTTTTATACTTGTTATTGATGCTACAGTGTGAGATTTTGTTTTATTTTAATTAGTACAGCTATTGTTCATTTATCTTGTGTGTCATTCCTACTGTTCTGTAACTTGTGATGCAACACTGGAATGTCCCCACGGTGGGACCAATAAAGGATGTCTTCATCTTAATCTAGATAGAGATGTGTATGTCTTGTCTCAAGTATCCATCTGATGCTGTGTCTAGAGAACTGGGCAGTGCATAAACAAGGCACAGAATCAGAAAAACAAACATTGTGAGCACACTGTTTAAGGTGGACTGGTCTCGGAGAACAGAGCCTGTTTAAGGTGGACTGGTCTTTGAGAACAGAGCCTGTTTAAGGTGGACTGGTCTCGGAGAACAGAGCCTGTTTAAAGGTCCTATATCACGCTTTTCTTCATGTTTCACACTCAATCCTATACACATGAGTGATATTAATGTGTATGATACACCACACAACAATCAAAGCTTGTGAGATTAGAGCCATCTCTTGTATAGAGGTGACGTCACCTCGACTCAAACGAGCTGATCCAGAGAAGAGTCTGCTCCTCTGCCTGTGAGCCCGCCTCCCCCCGCCCGCACGGTGACGTAGCATCACGCTTTTGTCGTTTATCACCTGTACTTAGTAATTTCATACATAAGAATAAACTTTTTCCAACAATGACAATCCGTCACATCGAGCCCTATGTCCTCGATGCACAATCAGACCCTAGTTATTTAGTTTACAGAAGTATACAGCGAGTTAGCGTCACTAATTACAGATCAAGGGGGTCCGAGTTACGTCTTTTACCGTGGGAATAACGTGTTTCCAGATCAGCCTTTGAGTAAGTCCAGTTCCATTGTCCCTGTAGTTCTGGAACAGTCTCAGTGAAGTGTCGCAGATGAACCGGTTTATAATAGATCCATGAGATGAACAGATGAAAAAAGTCGAGCCGCTTTCTTCCTCTTAGGGCCAAATAGTGTGTCACATATTTACACCCATAACACACTTCATTCAAGTTGACGTGATCCTAACACTTTTAGTTTCTGACAAAAGCATAAAAACAGCAGCTCTATGTGGTGTCCGTGAGACCAGACCACAGACGCTGGACTCGGGAGCCGGAGCCTGTGCGCTCTGATTCGCTGTTTTGATCCGTCAATCACCTCCCGCCGGCTTTTAATTTATTTTTATTTTTATTATTTTTGACAAAAAACAGCATACTAATTGTGTATTGTTTACCCCGTTTTGACAAAAGTATTTAACAACTATTTTAAATACAAAGCAAACGGGGTCATGCGCGTCATCAGTGTGGTTTTCGTCACTGAAGTGGACCCGAGCGTTTCTGTGCCTCACGCTGGGGAAGGAGACAGATTGCTCTCTTACAAAAGATTGACAGAATCAATGAATAAACTACTGTGGGCTTGTGTATGAAGGCCAAATAGCACTGTAATCATGTTTAAAGCAGAGAAAAGTCAAAAACCGTGATATGGGCCCTTTAAGGTGGACTGGTCTTGGAGAACAGAGCCTGTTTAAGGTGGACTGGTCTCGGAGAACAGAGCCTGTTTAAGGTGGACTGGTCTTGGAGAACAGAGCCTGTTTAAGGTGGACTGGTCTTGGAGAACAGAGCCTGTTTAAGGTGGACTGGTCTTGGAGAACAGAGCCTGTTTAAGGTGGACTGGTCTTGGAGAACAGAGCCTGTTTAAGGTGGACTGGTCTAGGAGAACAGAGCCTGTTTAAGGTGGACTGGTCTTGGAGAACAGAGCCTGTTTAAGGTGGACTGGTCTCGGAGAACAACAAAGTCTTGGTATGTTTGTTCTTGTGCTCTGCCCTTCCTCTTCCTGGATCCTGGAGTGAACAGTTTTTGTTGTTGGAATTAGACTTCATGACGCAGTTTAGAGACAGGAAATCTATTAGAAATCTATAATGTCTATAATATCCTATATATCAGTGGTTCCCAAAGTTGGGGTCCCGACCCCCCGGGGGGTCGCGGGAACCCCTGGGGGGGTCGCAAGATGATTTCCACACAAACAAAAAAAAAATATATATTTTTTTTTGAGCAAATATAAAGCCCTTAAATATTTATTTAGCATTTGATTTGATTCAAAAGGACTACTTGTTAAAACAGTGTTTGGAGACTATAATATATTTTAATAACGTTAGTAATTTTGTCCCAGTCATTGCAGCGTCAATCAAAATCATCACGTAACACAGCTCACATCATGCGCAGCGACAAAGCGTGTCCTGCTGTTGTTTGCTAAAACTAAAGGTGTTTGGAGGCTACAAATAAATAATACCTGCTTTAAAATGAAACGTGGTTAATATCCACAACAGAAAAATCCGGAGGGGGAGAAAAGTCACTTGTATCAGGGGTCAGGCTGATGGTGCGAAGAGAGGGAGAGAGGGCAAAGGAGGGAGAGAGGGCAGCGGAGGGAGAGAGGGCAAAGGAGGGAGAGAGGGCAGAGGAGGGAGAGAGGGCAGAGGAGGGAGAGAGGGCAGCGGAGGGAGAGAGGGCAGCGGAGGGAGAGAGGGCAGCGGAGGGAGAGAGGGCAGCGGAGGGAGAGAGGGCAGAGGAGGGAGAGAGGGCAGCGGAGGGAGAGAGGGCAAAGGAGGGAGAGAGGACAGCGGTAGAACAGCGCGTTAAAGAGGCCCGGCTTTTCGGAGTCAAAGGTAAAGAGGTCCGCACATTAAAAGCGGGTGGCCGGTTTGTGCCATTACTGACAGTAACTTTGGAAAGAGAAGGGGGAGAAAAGTCACTTGTATCAGGGGTCAGGCTGATGGTGCGAAGAGAGGGAGAGAGGGCAGCGGAGGGAGAGAGGGCAGCGGAGGGAGAGAGGGCAGAGGAGGGAGAGAGGGCAAAGGAGGGAGAGAGGGCAAAGGAGGGAGAGAGGGCAGCGGAGGGAGAGAGGGCAGAGGAGGGAGAGAGGGCAAAGGAGGGAGAGAGGGCAGCGGAGGGAGAGAGGGCAAAGGAGGGAGAGAGGGCAGCGGAGGGAGAGAGGGCAGAGGAGGGAGAGAGGGCAAAGGAGGGAGAGAGGGCAGCGGAGGGAGAGAGGACAGCGGTAGAACAGCGCGTTAAAGAGGCCCGGCTTTTCGGAGTCAAAGGTAAAGAGGTCCGCACATTAAAAGCGGGTGGCCAGTTTGTGCCATTACTGACAGTAACTTTGGAAAGAGAAGCCGCGGGGAAAGAGGCCGCCCGCTTTTAATGTGCGGACCTCTTTACCGCTGACTCCGGAAAGCCGGCCCACTTTACCGCGGTAGGAGAACAGAGAGGGCGAGCCGCAAGAAATGCGCTCCACCAAGCCCATCACTGTGTCACTACATGAGTAAAAATATGCAAGCCTCCTTTTTTGGGCTGGACAGTGCAGCTCGGTAGTGGCGTGAGTCTCTAGAAAGCGTTACTCCGTATCAAGGAAATACATGCTCATTTCATGTGACGGAAGAAGGGCTGTTGGGGGTCGCGGGCTAAAAACTTTGGGAACCCCTGCTATATATAATAAGTATTAATGCAATGGAAATTATCCATTGATGATACATTGATACATTTTAGATTTGTTCATTAAATCTAACTTTAATAGACATTTTATTCAGGCGTGTGATGTGCAGTGTATTGGCAGATCCAAGGAGGTGGAGGACCATTGTGACTCTGGATCAGAGAGAAAGGAAACATAGTGCATGTTGCACAGGCAGCAGCTTCATTTGGAAGAGTGTAGCCTGTCCATGAAGGGTAATTACAAAGCAAACAAAAGGGATATTTAGAGACAAAGACAGGTTTTGTGTGAATGCGTCTGCTGTTTACAGCGAGACCGTGTCTGAATCCAAGAACCACTTCCAGAGCGCTGATATGAGGTAATTATTCACAAGAATAAGAGTGCAGGAAGAAGAGGAGCACAGAGAGGCAGATAGGATTGGTTTGGCTGTGAGTGTATGGAGAAGGCCAGCCGATGGCACCATCTGAATCCTGAACAGGCGCTGCACGTCTGGCTTACTGTTGCCTTCAATGAGAGCTGGCGCAGAAGGAGAAGCAAAGAAAAGAAAGACATTCTGCAGTGGAGGAGAATCAGCGAATCATACGCACACAGCAGCGTTCAACTCTGGACGTTATGGCAGTGAACGCCTGATCGTAAGGCCTTCTAAGGACAATTACTATTTTAAACCAATGTTCATCAATGTAACAGACGACAATAACGATCATAGGTCTGTCATTATTGTACAGACAATGACGCCTCAAATATAATGTTTGCCCTGGACACTTATATTGCACCACTCAGAAAACTCTACTACATAAAGTCACAAAATATTTTAACTGATATTAGGGCAATGCAGAGCAATGTCTTCATGGGTAATGCACATATTATTTGCATTTTGTTAAACCGTAATTTTCTTACTTCTCGAATCTTGTCTCGTTTCTCCTTGACATCTGGTTCTGGTGGTTCCCCATCATTCATTCCCACCACTTGGGGCATTGGAACTGGCGGTAAAGGTTTTGGCCCGGGGTCCTTTTTCTTCAAGTCTTCCACCACCTTGTTCTTTTCCGTCTGGATCTCTGCTTTGAGTTCCTCGCGGGATTTTCGCAGCTTCTCCTTGGCCTCCTGCAGCGCTCGCTCATGGTCCGCACGGATTTTATCCCGCAGGCTCTCCTCCTCCTCCCTGCAGGGTGCAACAGACAGGTTTTATTATTCAACGGGCTTCCACAATCTGCTGATGATCACAGGGCCAAAACCAATGCCAAACCGCCAAAAGATTTCATTAAAAGCAGAGAACTCCATTTGAATTTAAATATATTCCTTTTGTTTTAATTCAGAATGTGGATAGATCAGCATTTGGAGAACCACACATTTGTTTATGTCGTTTAAAATAACCTGTTGTGATCTATTCAGACGACTTCACACATATTGAGTTAGGGCTGGTACTTTTTATCATAGTCACATCATTGGATCATCTTCTCCAGAGGCTAAAAAACATGCATGTGAAAACCTGAAAGAGAACCAATGAGTTTCTTGTTAAAACCTGGAACCTGGAACTTTAATTATGTTGAGAACACAAATTCTAATTCTCTCGTTGACTGCCAGCCGTTTTTGATGATTTCACTGATCCTCAAGACCCAAAGAAAATTATTTGCTAAGACTTTGTGAAATGTGAAACCAGATTCTGAAAGACTGGATTGTCTACTTTCATCAGCAAGAATAAGTTTGTTTCTAGCTGTTTTTATTCTCCTGTAATCCCCAGTCAAATAGAGGGTCTCAAACAAATACGTCAATGGCAGTCAATGAGTTAAATACAAGAGCATGCTGTGAAGTAGGAACAACAATAGAATATCTGCCAGTATTTTGCACTAAATAAAATATATAGATATGCAAGTCCTTGTCATGTAAAGCCAGTGAAACCTTTACAAAAAAAATAGTAATAACTAAATCTATAATCTAAAAGTTAACCAAGCAATTTATAGAAATGATCCAAAAACCATGGCTAACAAAGATCCACCTCAGCAGCAAACGGAGCCGAGTGACCCATAAATAACGCAGCTCATTACGAACCAGACAAAAGCCCGAACACACCACCTCTGCCTCCAGCTGTTTGCAGTTACATCACCATCTGGAACTAGGGCAGGTGTGCGGCAAACCAATAAAAAGACAAAAGAAACATCCTCTGCCCCGTCCGGTCAAGCCTCAGAGGGTGCCGGCACATCTCCGTCTGGTCGCGGCGTGGGGCAGGAACAATACAAACAAACACAGCGTGCAGCAGAGGTGAAGGACAGAGACTAACAACCACTGGGTACGACGGACACGAGGTCCTCAGGCGTCACCGTCACCGTCACCGGGGAAAAGGACATGTGAGCAACTTCAATCAAAATCCCAAATGATGTGGGAATTTTGTTACGCAACGGGAGAAGACGAGAGATTTGAGTAAAATGGTCCATGACTGAAAGTGGACAAGATGTGGCTCCTAAGTAGGGCTGCACAATACTGGAGATTAGTAAAATATTCGATATAAGTGTAGTTTAGTATTTTGTGAACCATTATATATATATTACTATTTATTTTTGCAATCTGCATTGAAACGCAGAGACAAATAATATAAATATGCACAACATTAATGACATTCAAATGCATATATTTAAATCCTTTTTGTTTGTTTGTTGTTATTGTTGAATGTTGATGTATCCGTTTTGTTGTCTACAATAAAGGAAAAAAAATAATAATAATATGTTTCTTTTTTATCGCAGATCTTTTCGATATGGACATACAGTTTAAAGCAGCACCTTTGGTTTTTAGCATGTCAATAGTACAGAACAGGAGAAAAGGCAGAGACAGTGGTATTCCCACAAGGGCATGTCTTGGCCCTTTTAGGACAACCCTCTCTTTGTCCAGATTGGTCAGGGTCAACAGTGAATTCTACAGTCTAATTTAGCCACATGTGATTTACTACAATTAGAACTTAAATAACATTCCAATGTCAGGCACTCATCGGTTTTGAAAAAAGTGGTATCGGAGCATCCTCCTGATAACATGTGAACCCATGGATGTAGCACGTGAGTGACATGACTGGTGCAACAAAAGGTAAAGCAGTTTGTGTGACTTCAGTCGATGAAATATGCTACATACATAAAAGATCACATGACCTGACTAACGTATGATCAAGTTGATGCTCAGTCCTCAGCAATAGAGCCGTCACATATTTAACATATTTACATGTTTCAGTTCAGGCTGAGACCAGCCCTTGCTCCTGTCCAGTCTGTGCTGGTCACTTTATGGACACTCTTCATGACAACAGCTGCAGACTCGTTACGCTGCAGTCACAGAGAGGACAGCCCTACGCTGCAGTCACAGAGGACAGCCCTACGCTGCAGTCACAGAGGACAGCCCTACGCTGCAGTCACAGAGGACAGCCCTACGCTGCAGTCACAGAGAGGACAGCCCTACGCTGCAGTCACAGAGAGGACAGCCCTACGCTGCAGTCACAGAGAGGACAGCCCTAGCGCTGCAGTCACAGAGGACAGCCCTACGCTGCAGTCACAGAGAGGACAGCCCTACGCTGCAGTCACAGAGAGGACAGCCCTACGCTGCAGTCACAGAGGACAGCCCTACGCTGCAGTCACAGAGGACAGCCCTACGCTGCAGTCACAGAGGACAGCCCTACGCTGCAGTCACAGAGAGGACAGCCCTACGCTGCAGTCACAGAGAGGACAGCCCTACGCTGCAGTCACAGAGGACAGCCCTACGCTGCAGTCACAGAGAGGACAGCCCTACGCTGCAGTCACAGAGAGGACAGCCCTACGCTGCAGTCACAGAGAGGACAGCCCTACGCTGCAGTCACAGAGAGGACAGCCCTACGCTGCAGTCACAGAGAGGACAGCCCTACGCTGCAGTCACACAGAGGACAGCCCTACGCTGCAGTCACAGAGAGGACAGCCCTACGCTGCAGTCACACAGAGGACAGCCCTACGCTGCAGTCACAGAGAGGACAGCCCTACGCTGCAGTCACAGAGAGGACAGCCCTACGCTGCAGTCACAGAGAGGACAGCCCTACGCTGCAGTCACAGAGAGGACAGCCCTACGCTGCAGTCACAGAGAGGACAGCCCTACGCTTCAGTAACAGAGAGGACAGCCCTACGCTGCAGTCACAGAGAGGACAGCCCTACGCTGCAGTCACAGAGAGGACAGCCCTACGCTGCAGTCACAGAGAGGACAGCCCTACGCTGCAGTCACAGAGAGGACAGCCCTACGCTGCAGTCACAGAGAGGACAGCCCTACGCTGCAGTCACAGCGGACAGCCCTACGCTTCAGTAACAGAGGACAGCCCTACGCTTCAGTAACAGAGAGGATAGCCCTACGCTTCAGTAACAGAGGGGACAGCCCTACGCTTCAGCAACAGAGGACAGCCCTACGCTTCAGCAACAGAGAGGACAGCCCTACGCTTCAGTAACAGAGGGGACAGCACTACGCTTTAGTAACAGAGAGGACAGCCCTACGCTTCAGTAACAGAGAGGACAGCCCTACGCTGGAGTCACAGCGGACAGCCCTACGCTTCAGTAACAGAGAGGACAGCCCTACGCTTCAGTAACAGAGAGAACAGCCCTACGCTTCAGTAACAGAGAGAACAGCCCTACGCTTCAGTAACAGAGAGGACATTCCTACGCAGCCATAGATAGTAATAAGTAAGTAACCTTTCACAGACCTGAGACAGACAATTGTGGGCATTTGTCTCTGACTCCACACAGAGATGGGAGCGGGGCCAGTACAGGAGGCACAGACCTATTGTACATGTTTTTAGTGTTAGGGGAAACCGGAGCACCCAGAGGAAACCGGAGCAGTAATAGTTGCTGAGGTCCAGCCATTGTTCGCCATGAACATGAGGAAAAGACCGTGCAGCAGGACAATCTCTAGGACACACAGTGCTCCATCATTTTGTCATCTTACTGTGGTTAAAAGGTGAAAGGATTACACAGAAGAGCATGCAGCAACACAATGCAGCATATCAATCAGCTCTAAAACCCAGATTGATGAGCCAACATCAGAGTAACAAAAATAGAGTCTAGAAAATGTCATGTTTATATTACCAAGTGACTGATTTGCCGTCGACAGCATAAATAATGGTCTCACCGTTCCACAGCAGTTGGAGTGTGGTGGCACTGGTCTGGCTTCTTGGTCAGAGAATCATCTCTGTTTTTAGGGCATTAGCAGCATTGAGGTGGAAGAAGCCGGTAACCACAGCAACAAACAGAGACACGCTCACCCAGACAGAGGTCATCGCAGGCAAGTTGAAGCATAATTACTTAATTTACCCGTTTATGCAAAAGAGCAAGACTGCTGGGCCATTTGGCTCGGCAGATAAGCTTTGAGTTGGCAAACAATGAGGCTGAACTTGGCATTTTATTTTAAACCTCTCAACTGGTAAACGCAATATTTATAAGAAATGATTATTGAAACATTTTCATCACTTATACACACATGGCGATGGCATGTTAAAACAAACTGTACAACACAAACTTGAAAACTTATTTTTGTGAACCGTACCTCCCTGAGGGGCTGCACGATTGATGAAATCACAATTATTTCAGAAAAAATTGAACTCCTGAAATTATATTGTCATGCAAAAGAGAATGAGCTTTATATGTTTGGGGTCTTGGATTCATAGTCTATACTTCTTTAAAAGGTACACTGTAGTTTTCATCTAGCATTGAGATCAAAACAAACTAATTGGACACACGTACAAACATCTGACAGCTGGACAAAGACGGTAACTGTAAATGATAAACGACTTCTTTGGAGCTGGTCATGGCCTTTATTATGATCTCAAGGGAAGAGATTTATGGCCTCAACCAAGCACCAAAGCACGTTTCAACCTGTGCCATAATAACGGGCAGAGCAATAACAGACCAAAATCAGGATATCGCCGACCAAGGCTCTTAGGGCTGTATGTGAAAGCGGCAGTGTGAAAACAGGCCTGTGTGATCCTGAACCTTTAGAGAGTCTGGGGCCTAAATGACTCTCATGGACCCATGCCTCATGGACCCTGGCATGGTCCATGCCAGGCATGGACCAGGCATGGAGCAGGCATGGAGCAGGCATGGAGCAGGCATGGAGCAGGCATGGAGCAGGCATGGAGCAGGCATGGAGCAGGCATGGACCAGGCATGGACCAGGCATGGACCAGGCATGGACCAGGCATGGACCAGGCATGGACCAGGCATGGACCAGGCATGGACCAGGCATGGACCAGGCATGGACCAGGCATGGACCAGGCATGGACCAGGCATGGACCAGGCATGGACCAGGCATGGACCAGCATGGACCAGGCATGGACCAGGCATGGACCAGGCATGGACCAGGCATGGACCAGGCATGGACCAGGCATGGACCAGGCATGGACCAGGCATGGACCAGGCATGGACCAGGCATGGACCAGGCATGGACCAGGCATGGACCAGGCATGGACCAGGCATGGACCAGGCATGGACCAGGCATGGACCATGGACCAGGCATGGACCAGGCATGGACCAGGCATGGACCAGGCATGGACCAGGCATGGACCAGGCATGGACCAGGCATGGACCAGGCATGGACCAGGCATGGACCAGGCATGGACCAGGCATGGACCAGGCATGGACCAGGCATGGACCAGGCATGGACCAGGCATGGACCAGGCATGGACCAGGCATGGACCAGGCATGGACCAGGCATGGACCAGGCATGGACCAGGCAAGTTATAATCCTTATGTGGGTTTTTTAGGTTGGCAAGAGGGAGTCGGCCCTGTATGTTTAACAAAGTGTGTGAATAAAATAAGTTCTTTGTGTGTGTGTGACCTTTGCATGTACTAGGGGTGACCTCTGCACTGTTTCCATTCCAAACTGTTATCTTCGTCTCCACACACCATGAGCCTTTCCAGCATATATTAAAAGTCTGGAAGTTTAAGGCAGTAAAACCCTCAGGCTCCGATCAGATTAATGATCACCGCCGCTGTGGCCAGATGCACTAAAGTTGGAGTGACTGTTTTTGCTTCATTAATACATTTTGTTTATTGACTTAAGAGTATAGCTTAAGGTCCTGACCCTGATGGGACCTGACAGGAACATGTCGGCCGAGGCTGGTTTGTATGATTCCATTTGAGTTTTTAGGTCTGATTACAGCCTGAACTTGTCCGACAGAGTTTGTTCTCATAAGTTTTCATAAATGTTTCACTCCCTCGCACTAAAGAAACAGTAGCGTCTTGCAAGAGCATGGTTTATGGTTTTACACTGGTCCAGACCAGAGCAGAGAGGATTCATGGTTTTACACTGGTCCAGACCAGAGCAGAGAGGATTCATGGTTTTACACTGGTCCAGACCAGAGCAAAGAGGATTCATGGTTTTACACTGGTCCAGACCAGAGCAGAGAGGATTCATGGTTTTACACTGGTCCAGACCAGAGCAGAGAGGATTCATGGTCTGAACCAAGCTCCACCTCTGCTGCTGTGGCCTGATTATTACTATTGTTATATTTTTATTTATGCTGCTACTGGACACCTGCATTTCTCCGACGGGGATCAATAAAGTATCTGTCCACATCCCTCATTTATCGTTCCGTCTTAATGTCCAACTCTACTGAGCATGTGCTTGTTTATAATCCTCAAATCCAAGAAGATCAACTTCCCAAACACAAAAGAAAAACAGCCCAGAGACCCCGACTTCAGGAAAACAAACCTCCGTCAAACAGTCCCACTTCATGCTCACATCTGCTGGACAACACTAATGACATTATTTCATGCAGTTCAGGGCAACTCGGGGCAACTCGGGGCAACTCGGGGCAACTCGGGGCAACTCGGGGCAACTCGGGGCAACTCGGGGCAACTCGGGGCAGACGAACGATAAGGACCCGCAGGGAACAGGGACAACTCGGAGGAGAGAGCCTGAGAAATTGCTTTTAGCACCTTTTCGAAGGCAGAGCTCTGAAATCTCGCCCTCCCACCGCAGCAGAAACCTGTTCTATTAAATTAGTTTGGCTTCGGGAACAGTTTGTTATCAGATATGTTTTTCTCATGCCTGTTTTACAGAAGACAAAATACATTGGAATTGATTGTGGGATAATAATGAATGTAATTGTAAGGACAAACAAATCAAACTGATAATCTGCAAATATGTATCACAGATTAATCTCAACACAACAAGACAAACTGTAACTGTGGGAAAAATACTAAAAGTAAAATAAGACCTTGAGTTTTAAAAGAAAGTTTGACAAGTAAAAAGAGTGCGATCAATTAAAGTATCTGGACTTTAAAAGGTTGTAACTCAAAAACTAAAATTATTATCATTGATTGGAAAAATGATTTCAAACTCAGACAGATCAAAGAGACAGTGTGGATGAAATCTAAAGGAAAGATCGACAAATACAGTTTTAGCGACATTTTAAACCCAGATCAGCCTCTGATTGGATCATTCTGTGACTCAGAGGAAATAAAATGTCCTGAATCTGAAAAAGCTGCAGATGAAATCCACAAGATAAACATCAACAACATCAGGAAATCAGTTTGTTTTTATTTTTACAAAATTCTATTAAAGCTTAAATGACCCTGAAAAATCTCAGGGTGACAGTAGCTCAGTTGGTGGAGCACTGATCGTTGGACCCAATGGTCGTGGGTTTGATCACAGCACGGCCCATGTCACCTGCTCCCACTGATGTCTGTTGTTGTGTCCCTGGGCAAGACACTTAACCCCACATTGCCTGAAGCCCCCGCTGAAAGACCAAGGCCATCTAGTCCATGACTCCATCTTCCCGTGGACCCCCCCATCTGCAGAGGATCAGCGAGGGACTGGTGCTATGAGACTAACAAAGGGGTAGAAAACATGACATGAACCTGAAAAATGTGTAACGGACAAGATGGTTTCTGTCCATTTTTATGTCCAAAAAAATTATTATTTGTTTTCACATTTAATTATTATTATTATTATTAATATAAAAGTCGGAATTTGTTTCTACTCTGTGTAAAAAAAAGAATCGTTATATAAAATAAAAAGAGACGCTTTTTGTCAAACTGATGAACCCTTTAGCGTGAACAAGCCCATTACACTTTTATCCATCCATCTTCTTCCCCTTAATCCATGTCTGGGTCGGGGGTGGCAGTCAGAGCACCAGCCCCTCACTGATCCTCCTGCAGGTGCTGAGTCCACAGGAGCTGAGATCTTTCAGTGGGGGCTTCAGGCAAAGTGGGGTTAAGGACACAATGACAGCAGACATCAGTGGGAGTCGTGAAGTGGGTCTCAAGGTGGGATTGAACCCTCAACTTTAATCACACATCCTCCTTATTGCTTCGTGACAAGGCAAAGCCAGACTTTTGTGACGGTTCAGTTTTTGGACACTAACCACTGTGTCTTTGTATTCCATTATCTAATGTCATAAAGCAGAACATTCTACAGGCAACGGTTCAAAAATACAACAAAGTAGACTAGGAAAAGTGAATGTGATCTGAGCAAAGCACTCAGATATAGTCAAAAACAATAAAAGGGATTTAGCCGCAAGAGAGGATTGACAACAGACGGAACATGGAGCGGGTTATAATGCTGTTCATTGAGCTGTCGATTATTTACAAAACCAAGCCAAAGAGAAAACAAAAATGCAAATGCAGCGTGTTCCAGAGAGAAGAGAGAAGACTTCCTTACCTGTGTCTGTTTTCATCATGCCCTCCCTGTCCATGTATGACCACCTGTCCCGAGGCGTGCTTGCCCTCTTTGGGAGAGTCGATGTGTGGGATCAGAACGTCCTCAAGGCCCAGGTCAAAACGCTTGTGCTTAGAGTTGTCCGGGAGGAAGAAAAAGGCTCCGAAACATAACGTGATGAAGGCACTGAGAATGAGCAGCAAGATGAACTTCTCAGAGAGCCTGAGCGTCGCCCTGTGGTGAGGGAACGAGGAGGTGCCCGTGGAGAGGGTCGGTATCCTGCGGCCAGACAGCGGCAGGAGGGCTGGAGTGGTCATGTTTCACACTCTGTGAACGGGGCTCAGGGGGGGGGGGGGGGGGGGTCACAGGGGGGGGGTCTAACACTGCCACAGATGTTGAAGTAGCAGCATTCAAGGTTTGAGCCACTTATTATCTCATACCAGAAATTATAAATCCAGAAACCAGGCAGATGTAGGGCCGCGGTCCATCAGCGAGGGAAGCGAGAACTGTCATGGTGAATCTGAAAACAGCAAGACAATATTTCAGTTACATGTACAAAAAAAAATCTAATCAAATTCCTCTAAAAAACAAACAAAAAAAACAGATCAATTGATATTTTTGTTGAAATAACTAAAAGCTTAAATTAAAAGATATATATTTTAGAAATTCCACAAAAGGCTTTAAAATAGGCAATCAACATGAATCCACATCCTGAACATCCCTTAACTAGCACTACAACAATTCATAAATAATACACAATTTTCCCAATGTTGTGCAGAAAGGCAAAATATTCTATTCCAAACGAAACCGTCGAATAGTCGCAACCAAAGTGATTATCAGCTTTAACGACATATTGATTAATCTATAAAATCTTATCTTATTTTCATTATAAGCGTTGGTTCTCGCTGTGATCATAGGACAAGCTCCAGCTCAGCCTCTGCTCGGATGGGAATAGGTTTAAAGATGTCGTGTAAATCACCTTTTAGTCAAATCCCTAGAGGCATTTTTTGCAGAAACGCGTATTTTATATCGTGAATGTTTTGCAGCAGTGGTTCTGTGCTGCTGTGACGTGTCCACACTGAATACCAAGTCCATTCCCTGACAGTGGCAGATTCAGATTATTTGCCATTTGCAGTAAAAAAAACACATTGGAATACCTTTGCAATAGTCACCAGTGTGCACAGACAAACACAGACATAACACAAGATTAAAAGTACAGATCCATGCAGTCTGTGAGATGATGATTAGCCCATACACACAAACATGCATAATGCTAGCTAACGCCGAGAGGCTAACTTAACAAGTCTTACATTTAACGATTTAACAAACCATCGAGCTACAGTCCCCCACACACACCAGTGCACACAACACGAAGCTTGCAGGTTGATTAATCCAAGATACATTTAATCATACATACATTTAAGCATATCTCCTGCTGCTAGCTCCCATTAGCATGTGGCTAACGCTAAAGCTAGCTGCTGCTAATCACTGGGACAGAGTCGGTCTCAGCTGCATCACCTTTCTCATTTCGGTGAAACGGGAGAAACGCGCGGCTCCTCGGAGAAACCAATCCACCGTCTGCAAGAACAGGCTGTGGCAGGTGTCTTCATGTCCGTAAATGTTAGAATATCCTGGAGGACACAGCCACACAGATCACCGCCACAGAGCCGTGGAGCTGGACTGCTGCAGCGGACTGAGGCTGACGAGCTCTGGACCCTCTGTGGGGTCTGATCCTAGACCCTCTGTGGGGTCTGATCCTAGACCCTCTGTGGGGTCTGATCCTAGACCCTCTGTGGGGTCTGATCCTAGACTGTGTATGGGTCTGATCCTAGACTGGATATGGGTCTGATCCTAGACCCTCTGTGGGGTCTGATCCTAGACCCTCTGTGGGGTCTGATCCTAGACCCTCTGTGGGGTCTGATCCTAGACCCTCTGTGGGGTCTGATCCTAGACCCTCTGTGGGGTCTGATCCTAGACCCTCTGTGGGGTCTGATCCTAGACCCTCTGTGGGGTCTGATCCTAGACTGTGTATGGGTCTGATCCTAGACTGGATATGGGTCTGATCCTAGACCCTCTGTGGGGTCTGATCCTAGACCCTCTGTGGGGTCTGATCCTAGACTGTGTATGGGTCTGATCCTAGACTGGTTATGGGTCTGATCCTAGACTGGATATGGGTCTGATCCTAGACTGGATATGGGTCTGATCCTAGACTGGTTATGGGTCTGATCCTAGACTGGATATGGGTCTGATCCTAGACTGGATATGGGTCTGATCCTAGACTGTGTATGGGTCTGATCATAGACTGGATATGGGTCTGATCCTAGACTGTGTATGGGTCTGATCCTAGACTGTGTATGGGTCTGATCCTAGACTGTGTATGGGTCTGATCCTAGACTGTGTATGGGTCTGATCCTAGACTGGATATGGGTCTGATCATAGACTGGATATGGGTCTGATCCTAGACTGTGTATGGGTCTGATCCTAGACTGTGTATGGGTCTGATCCTAGACTGTGTATGGGTCTGATCCTAGACTGTGTATGGGTCTGATCCTAGACCCTCTGTGGGGTCTGATCCTAGACTGTGTATGGGTCTGATCCTAGACTGGATATGGGTCTGATCCTAGACTGTGTATGGGTCTGATCCTAGACTGGATATGGGTCTGATCATAGACTGTGTTTGGGTCTGATCATAGACTGGTTATGGGTCTGATCCTAGACTGTGTATGGGTCTGATCATAGACTGTGTATGGGTCTGATCATAGACTGGATATGGGTCTGATCCTAGACTGGATATGGGTCTGATCCTAGACTGTGTATGGGTCTGATCATAGACTGGATATGGGTCTGATCCTAGACTGGATATGGGTCTGATCCTAGACTGTGTATGGGTCTGATCCTAGACTGGATATGGGTCTGATCCTAGACTGGATATGGGTCTGATCCTAGACTGTGTATGGGTCTGATCCTAGACTGTGTATGGGTCTGATCATGGACTGTGTATGGGTCTGATCCTAGACTGGATATGGGTCTGATCCTAGACTGTGTATGGGTCTGATCCTAGACCCTCTGTGGGGTCTGATCCTAGACTGTGTATGGGTCTGATCCTAGACTGTGTATGGGTCTGATCATAGACTGGATATGGGTCTGATCCTAGACTGGATATGGGTCTGATCCTAGACTGGATATGGGTCTGATCCTAGACTGGATATGGGTCTGATCATGGACTGGTTATGGGTCTGATCCTAGACTGGATATGGGTCTGATCATGGACTGTGTATGGGTCTGATCCTAGACTGGATATGGGTCTGATCCTAGACTGTGTATGGGTCTGATCCTAGACCCTCTGTGGGGTCTGATCCTAGACTGTGTATGGGTCTGATCCTAGACTGTGTATGGGTCTGATCATAGACTGGATATGGGTCTGATCCTAGACTGGATATGGGTCTGATCCTAGACTGTGTATGGGTCTGATCCTAGACTGGATATGGGTCTGATCCTAGACTGGATATGGGTCTGATCCTAGACTGTGTATGGGTCTGATCCTAGACTGTGTATGGGTCTGATCATAGACTGGATATGGGTCTGATCCTAGACTGGATATGGGTCTGATCCTAGACTGGATATGGGTCTGATCCTAGACTGGTTATGGGTCTGATCCTAGACTGGATATGGGTCTGATCCTAGACTGTGTATGGGTCTGAGAGAGACTGTGTATGGGTCTGATCCTAGACTGTGTATGGGTCTGATCATAGACTGTGTATGGGTCTGATCATGGACTGTGTATGGGTCTGATCCTAGACTGTGTATGGGTCTGATCCTAGACTGTGTATGGGTCTGATCCTAGACTGTGTATGGGTCTGATCCTAGACTGGATATGGGTCTGATCCTAGACTGTGCATGGGTCTGATCCTAGACTGTGTATGGGTCTGATCCTAGACTGGATATGGGTCTGATCCTAGACTGGTTATGGGTCTGATCCTAGACTGTGTATGGGTCTGATCCTAGACTGTGTATGGGTCTGATCCTAGACTGGATATGGGTCTGATCCTAGACTGGATATGGGTCTGATCCTAGACTGGATATGGGTCTGATCCTAGACTGTGTATGGGTCTGATCCTAGACTGTGTATGGGTCTGATCCTAGACTGTGTATGGGTCTGATCCTAGACTGGATATGGGTCTGATCCTAGACTGTGCATGGGTCTGATCCTAGACTGTGTATGGGTCTGATCCTAGACTGTGTATGGGTCTGATCCTAGACTGGATATGGGTCTGATCCTAGACTGGTTATGGGTCTGATCCTAGACTGTGTATGGGTCTGATCCTAGACTGTGTATGGGTCTGATCCTAGACTGGATATGGGTCTGATCCTAGACTGGATATGGGTCTGATCCTAGACTGGATATGGGTCTGATCCTAGACTGTGTATGGGTCTGATCCTAGACTGGATATGGGTCTGATCCTAGACTGTGTATGGGTCTGATCCTAGACTGTGTATGGGTCTGATCCTAGACTGTGTATGGGTCTGATCCTAGACTGTGTATGGGTCTGATCCTAGACTGTGTATGGGTCTGATCCTAGACTGTGTATGGGTCTGATCCTAGACTGTGTATGGGTCTGATCCTAGACTGGATATGGGTCTGATCCTAGACTGTGTATGGGTCTGAGAGAGACTGGATATGGGTCTGATCCTAGACTGGATATGGGTCTGATCCTAGACTGTGTATGGGTCTGATCCTAGACTGTGTATGGGTCTGATCCTAGACTGGATATGGGTCTGATCCTAGACTGTGTATGGGTCTGATCCTAGACTGTGTATGGGTCTGATCCTAGACTGGATATGGGTCTGATCCTAGACTGGATATGGGTCTGATCATGGACTGGATATGGGTCTGATCCTAGACTGTGTATGGGTCTGATCCTAGACTGTGTATGGGTCTGATCATGGACTGGTTATGGGTCTGATCCTAGACTGTGTATGGGTCTGATCCTAGACTGGATATGGGTCTGATCCTAGACTGTGTATGGGTCTGATCCTAGACTGGATATGGGTCTGATCCTAGACTGTGTATGGGTCTGATCCTAGACTGTGTATGGGTCTGATCCTAGACTGGATATGGGTCTGATCCTAGACTGGATATGGGTCTGATCATGGACTGGATATGGGTCTGATCCTAGACTGTGTATGGGTCTGATCCTAGACTGTGTATGGGTCTGATCATGGACTGGTTATGGGTCTGATCCTAGACTGTGTATGGGTCTGATCCTAGACTGGATATGGGTCTGATCCTAGACTGGTTATGGGTCTGATCCTAGACTGTGTATGGGTCTGATCCTAGACTGGATATGGGTCTGATCATGGACTGGATATGGGTCTGATCCTAGACTGTGTATGGGTCTGATCATGGACTGGTTATGGGTCTGATCCTAGACTGTGTATGGGTCTGATCCTAGACTGGATATGGGTCTGATCCTAGACTGTGTATGGGTCTGATCCTAGACTGTGTATGGGTCTGATCCTAGACTGGTTATGGGTCTGATCCTAGACTGTGTATGGGTCTGATCCTAGACTGGATATGGGTCTGATCCTAGACTGTGTATGGGTCTGATCCTAGACTGTGTATGGGTCTGATCCTAGACTGTGTATGGGTCTGATCCTAGACTGGTTATGGGTCTGATCCTAGACTGTGTATGGGTCTGATCCTAGACTGGATATGGGTCTGATCCTAGACTGTGTATGGGTCTGATCCTAGACTGTGTATGGGTCTGATCCTAGACTGGTTATGGGTCTGATCCTAGACTGGTTATGGGTCTGATCCTAGACTGGATATGGGTCTGATCATGGACTGGATATGGGTCTGATCCTAGACTGTGTATGGGTCTGATCATGGACTGGTTATGGGTCTGATCCTAGACTGTGTATGGGTCTGATCCTAGACTGGATATGGGTCTGATCCTAGACTGTGTATGGGTCTGATCCTAGACTGTGTATGGGTCTGATCCTAGACTGGTTATGGGTCTGATCCTAGACTGTGTATGGGTCTGATCCTAGACTGGATATGGGTCTGATCCTAGACTGGATATGGGTCTGATCCTAGACTGTGTATGGGTCTGATCATAGACTGTGTATGGGTCTGATCCTAGACTGTGTATGGGTCTGATCCTAGACTGTGTATGGGTCTGATCCTAGACTGTGTATGGGTCTGATCCTAGACTGTGTATGGGTCTGATCCTAGACTGTGTATGGGTCTGATCATAGACTGGATATGGGTCTGATCCTAGACTGTGTATGGGTCTGATCCTAGACTGTGTATGGGTCTGATCCTAGACTGTGTATGGGTCTGATCATAGACTGTGTATGGGTCTGATCCTAGACTGGATATGGGTCTGATCATAGACTGTGTATGGGTCTGATCCTAGACTGGATATGGGTCTGATCCTAGACTGTGTATGGGTCTGATCCTAGACTGGATATGGGTCTGATCCTAGACTGTGTATGGGTCTGATCCTAGACTGGACATGGGTCTGATCCTAGACTGGACATGGGTCTGATCCTAGACTGGATATGGGTCTGATCCTAGACTGTGTATGGGTCTGATCCTAGACTGGATATGGGTCTGATCCTAGACTGGATATGGGTCTGATCCTAGACTGGATATGGGTCTGATCCTAGACTGTGTATGGGTCTGATCCTAGACTGTGTATGGGTCTGATCCTAGACTGGATATGGGTCTGATCCTAGACTGGTTATGGGTCTGATCATGGACTGTGTATGGGTCTGATCCTAGACTGGATATGGGTCTGATCCTAGACTGGTTATGGGTCTGATCATGGACTGTGTATGGGTCTGATCATAGACTGGATATGGGTCTGATCCTAGACTGGTTATGGGTCTGATCCTAGACTGGATATGGGTCTGATCCTAGACTGGATATGGGTCTGATCATGGACTGGTTATGGGTCTGATCCTAGACTGGTTATGGGTCTGATCATGGACTGTGTATGGGTCTGATCCTAGACTGGTTATGGGTCTGATCCTAG